ACCTAGGCACCAATAATGTGAAATCCAAGTTTTCTCCATTCAGCTATTTTTTTATCCTTTTCAATCCTGCTTCACTCCAAGAGTTCTATCCATTACACGTGCAACATAAACATAAAAATACCCTTCTTCAAATTATAATTTCATTAAAAAACATGTGCTAAATATAATAAAGAAAATTAAGCAGCATGCTAAAAGACATATCAAAATCCCCCAAACTTAAACGTTACTTGTCCTCAAGTAACACTAACTTTTAAAAACCAAAGTTGTTGACTTGTGGTTGTGGGTTTCTTCAAGATTTCTTACAATTTTGCTTTAGGAATGTCATAGTGAAACTTAGGGGAAATTCTAGTGAACCGAGCTAGGACTAGGGCAAAAGCGTATTTAATATTTAACTTAGGGATCCTGGTTTTCTATCTACTTCAAAAATAATTATAATTTATCAAACTTGGGATTCCTAAAAAGTATAAACTAGAATTTAAGCACTCTAACTATGCAAATTTGATTAATACTTTTTAAAATAAAAATAAACTTCAGATCTTATCTAAATATTTTCCTTTAAAAAAAATTAAGTGAAATCAATTTTTGATTATGCTTCTCCTCAACCTTCTCCTCACATTTCATAACCTTTTTTTTTCTTTTTACTTTTCTTTCTTTTCTTTTTTGTTAGGATCATTTTCAATTCTTACTAATTTAATTTGAGGATTACTATATCTGGATAGCTTTTAATAGTTTTCAATTTCACTATCCTCCTCCTAAAGTTTAGAACTCACCACTTTCCTTTACTTTTAAAATTATCAGTATTAAATTAAAATTTCTTTCAACAGAGACTCAATTCTTATAAAATGTATATCTAAGAATATTACTTTTTTAAAAGTACAATTCTTTCCTACTATAAATAGTAAAATCATATTCCTATTATCTCGTACTAAATACCTTAACTTTAGCGCGGTCCTTTTTACCAAAAATTTTAACTAAGTCTTCAATAACATCCCTAAAATCAAAATTATAGCACTCTAATGGTAACACCACATACTGCAAGTTATTTTAAAGTGATATCAATTTTATATGTAAGCTGCTTTGGACAAATAAAGTTAAGCTTTTAAAAGGTTTTCCTCCCCCCAAAACTTGATTTTTAAAATGTATAGTATTCAATATAAGAAATATAAGAAGGAAGAAATATAACAGCTTAGAAAAACAATCTATCACATATGTTTGATAGAAATATTTTCACGTATTCATCAGAACAAAACAATATGCAATAAAAAGTAAATCTAACCTACACATGCTAGAATGAAAATTAAACTGAAGAAAGTCAATGTAACAGTGCCTGTATTAGTATAGAAATAATTAAAAGAACCAAAACCTTTGTCCGAAAATATTTTAAATTTACAAACAATGATAACTAATGTCCTGTACTACCAATAAAAAGGAAATACATCAGTAACTTAACGACATTAGTGAAAATTAAACATAGATAAACATCAAATCTAATTCTACTGACATACATTCAAGCAATCCAATCACAATCCTAACATCCACAATCAACATCGAACAATCCAAGCCACACATACGACGAACACAATATACTACAAATATTCACAACTCAAGAACAAACTAACACATATGTACCTTGGGTTGCCTCCTAAGAAGCGCTAGATTTAATGTTGTCAGCCCGATGAATAAGGATTCCTCCTGGATTAAAATTGTGATTTAGTAATCCTGATCAATCATCGAATCATTTGTTGATCTTAGAATTTCTACTAAATCTTCAAATTTCAGTTTTCCTTGCAACTTATCCTTCTCAGCTCTATAATAATCATCTTTAGGGCATGTAGAGGGTTGATTTAGATTATTGTTCCTAATGGTTCTTTCTAAATCTAATATCCTTCCAATGATTTTCTCTATTTTTATATTAATGTCTTCCTTCAAAGCTATAAGAAATGGATCCCTATAACATAGTTTAAGGTCTCCTAAATTTTGGGTCGGGTTCTCCTTAGGTGTTTCAAATTCCTTAGTAATTTCTTCCATAGGTCTTTTGGTCTCCTCTTCCTCTTTTCTCAACTCAGCGTTCTTTTGAAACATATCCTCTAATTCCCTTCCAGTCCTTAACTTTATTGCTTTCAATTGCTCATTATTCTTCTCCTTAGGATTCAACTCGATGCTACCAGAAAAAATCCCTTGATGAAGATTGCTGAGTGAGTTAGCAATTTTCCAAGTTAGTTTTCTATATTCCTAATTGCAAGGCCTTGACTGTGCGGCTGACACCCCATTTGAAGAACAACATCTTCTAATGATAACTTCTTCTTCTTAAGTTGTGGGTTGGAGTTAAATCTAAGAGGAAAAGAACGTCTAAAGTTAGAATTACCTTGATTATTCCAATTACCATTAGGATTAACTTGATTATTTCCCCATGGTTGGTTTCCTCCTCCATAATTGTTATTCCAGTTAAAGTTAGCATGATTCTTTCAGCTAAGGTTCTAATAATTGGAATATGAGTTATTTGAGTGATTGTTTACCGTACCGCAAGGATAGTTTCAAAAGAGTTGGTATCAGTCAACTGCCCAAATGAATTTTCATCAATGAATGAAGGTCCTTGAAGTTGACTCGTTCTGTCATGATCTAACTTTCTTGCAATAGCTACTACTCATGAAGTTAAAATAGTTAGCACATCAATTTCCTGAACATTTGCTACCTTTTTGGTGTTTACTCTTTTGGAGGGCCATTGAAAGTTATTGTTGGCCATCTCCTCTATAAGTGAATAAGCCTCCTTAAATGGTTTCGACATAAGTGAACCACCAGAGGCAGCGTCCATGATTGCTCTTAAAGATCCAACTAATATGTAATAGAAAGTTTGAATAATAAGCTAATCAGACAATGCCTCATAAATTGATGCACCTTCAGGTTGACAGGATGACATGATATCATTACTCAATTGAGTGGTTTTAGATGATAAAAAATACTTAGCTAGAAATTTATAGCTTAAATCCCCCCACGTTCTAATTAAACCTAATGTTAATTAATTAAGCCACATTTTGGCTTTATCCCTCAGGGAAAAGGGAAAATGTCTAAGTTTAATAACATCATTAGAGACATTGTATACCTGAATGTGGTGCAGAGTTCTAAGAAACTAGTTAAATGTAAGTTAGGGTCTTCAGACGGGGATCCTCCAAATTGATTATTTTGCATCATCAGAATAATTATTGGCTTAAGTTAGAAAGTATTTGCCTCTACGGTCAAGGGTTTGTATACTTAAGTGAATTTTATCCACTGCATGATTCACATAAGCCCTTAAAGGTCTATTAACATTCTAATCCAAGACTAAATCTTCATTAACTTGTTGATCCGTCATTTCTACAACAAAGTTTTGGAGTCTTTCTGCTTCCTAATCCTTCTAAAAGTTTTCTCTCTAGTTCCGAGTTGTATAATTTAAGGTCTGTTGCATCTGAACTATGCATTCAACTCTAAAGACTTAACTAATAGGATAGATATCTAGTACTTCAATCACTCAAAAATAATTTTGTATTTTCTTTAAAATAACACATAATAATTAAACACACTAGATAATAACACTATTATTTTCAAATCTAAGCCTTTCAGATTCAACTAAAATCCTCTTAAAGTTTTTTTGTCAACGCTTCGACATTAATAACTCCATAAACTTGATCCCACAAGCGTGTTATGTCACAATAATGTAAGTCCTGGTAATTGTCAATCCACTCCTTAGTAAATTGATTAATTCCTTAATATTAGATATTCTTACACACTGGGTTTCTCACACAAGCATAGATATCATTTCAATAATATAGGGTTCAAATGAGTCTGTACTGTCAATCCAACAGAGAAGTGAAGTAGTTAATTCCAAAGGCAAAGTTTTAGTCTATTATTTTCAGGGCCTAGTTTGGAAGGTCAATAAAGGGTGATTTTCTAACAGCTACTCTTAGATTACAATGCTAAGTCTAAATTAACCCTATATAGACTTAATTGGTTTGGTGAAATTCAAGATATGAAAGCTACCAATCTCTTGTGAGTGCATAAGTGGAAATATAGGATATGATACTAAAAATCTAATGTGACTATTGATAATAGAAGCATGAATCTAGGTTATCCTCTTCCGAGTGTGTAACCAAGTTTGGTTTAACTTAGTAAGTGTTTCTTCCTGTCACCCTAGCAACTCTTAAGTTAAATCCCCTCAATTCTTATCTCCCTAATTATTTGCATGTTTTCTATAGACTACTTTTTCTTCACCTATAAGTTCAATATTGTTCTTCCTTGTTGATAAGGCCATAAATCTTTATGGTTTACAATAGATTTTAACATACGAATTGATAAAGCTATAGCCCTGCCTAGTATGCGATCCACTGCATTGCTACTATATTTTTTGGAGGAAGAGGATAGCTGAGATTCTAAGGCCGCTCCTCCCTCTGCCATGGAATTATGTCATGGGCTAGTAAAACCTTGGAATCTCTACCAACTCTCAAGTTTTCTCAAAATCTTGGATTTTCGCATATTACTTGATCATGGGCTAGTGAAATCTTTTTTCATTATCTTCAGGGCTAGAGCTTTACCCCAAATGTGCTCCCCACATATCCCAAATGTGCTCCCCACATATCCTAGAATGAACCTTGCGCAGAGCCTAATCAGCTTCAGATAGGGGAAGTTAGTTGAGTAAGGACAAACAAAGGCCTTCTTATAGAGTTCATCCTTGATAATAATAAAGTTGTCGTCCATACGTCGGAGGCGAAGCAACACAATAACAACATCGAGCAAATATGTATCGATTATGTAATTAATATTTTATTAATTAATTAGAATTTTACTAAATTAATATTAACTATATAATTTACTATTTTATTAATTAATTATGAAATAGTTATATATAAATGTTATAGGTATTCTTAGATTGTAACATATAATTAATTGTTAATTCATTAAACTGAATAAATTTAACTTAAATAAAATCAAATTAAATCCCGAAACCTCGGGAAACTTGACCTAAACCCTCGCCTGCCTCCGTACCCCTACTCACCGTTTCGGCCAAAACCATTGCCTCGCTTAGCTTTCCCACCGAAATCCTAGCGATACAGTAGCGACAAGAGCTAGCTGAGAAGGTAACAACAGGATCGCAGCGTACAAAATCCTCCGAAACTCCTATATTTCTTCTCCATCTCCGCTCCTACTCGAAACAATCGAGAAAGGTAACCCTCGAGCTTCTCCTCCTTCCTGCCTTCGAGCGCTTCAGCTCCTCTAATTTCAATTTGTCATTTATGCTGCTTGAAAGAATTTACATTAAAATTTGATTAAATCCTACTTAAATCCTGCTTACTAAACAGCCCCTTAAAAGGGAGTTTGCGGGGGCAAACATATGTACGTGAACAATGGCTTGTGAAAGAGAAAACGGCTTCCTTAGAGTTGCAGCGTAACATCCGCGCATATTCATTTCAACAATCATTAAGTTCATTTTCTCATTTTCTCATTTTCATTCGATTTCATTGGAAAAAAAAAGGAGCATTTTTACATCGTTCAATAAATTTTGGGGTTTAAATGAAATTGTAAGGGATACACTGTTGATGTATTGAAACTTTGGGTCCCCCATTATCTACCACTTTCTTTGTCAGTTTGAAGTCTATTTGTCAAATTCCCAATAGGATGACATAGAATTCTACATTTTTTTGCCTTGATTCTTTGACATTGTTTGTGTAATCTCTATTGCCGGTAAGAAATGTCAGCATATATTTAGCATATTTTGCACATTATCTCAAATCGATTTATTTTTTTCATTTTTTATTTCCCTTGAAAGAGAGAAATTTGTTAAGTTTTATGAAGAACAGAAAGCAAATTTAGTTTTTTAAGTTATTATTTAGAATAATATGTATATTAATATAATAAATTATTTTTTAAACTTAATAAGCTATTTGATGGTGCAATATTTAAGGCGAATGAGACATAATTCAAGATTGAGGGGAAATGATGAAATTACATTTTTGTATTTTTTTTTAAATTTATCGAAGGATATCTTATTTTTTGGTAGTAGTGACATTATGCATATTAGGTGCGCTGTTTTTCTTTTGTTTTTCCATTTAAATCCTGAAAAAGTTTACATTAAAAAAACAAGCAAAATATCAAAATGAATTTAAATATTTAATGAATTTGAGAGCAACGATGTTATCATTTATACCATTTCAATCCTTTTTATGATTGGCTTTATGAGTTTTCTAGGTTCTTAATGGTTGTTTTTGGTTGTAAGTTGCGTTTAGTAAATTCATATTTATAATTCCTGTAAGTTTGGATTTAATAATTTTTGAGTGTTGCTTCTTAAAGACTATTTGTACATTTGGAATATTTGGCACAACTTTTGTAGCAATAGGCATCATGCTGGAGCATTGGCCAAAAAAATCGGTCCTATAAAAAAGCCAAGGTTTTATCTTGCCCAGTGTGGGTTGCAAGGCTGATGACATGCATCTGACTGATTTACTTTTAATGGAGCGAAGTTGTTGGTATCCACAATTGATTTCCTTTGAATAATTAACATTTATGAATATTTTAATAGCTATTTGCTTGATGCAATTTGCATTGTGCCATGGTTTAATAAAATCGAGATTCTTCCCTTTTATATTGATCTCAAAGTGCTTGAAGTGTTGTAGTAGCAATATTGACATCTACATAAAGGATTGCTCGTCAATTGAGCGTGTCAATCATTTGATTGAATTACCCAACTTTGTGTTGGAGAACAAAATTAAATTTATGCAAAAATATCAACCATGCATGTGACCTATGTAGCACGCACACTTCTAAAAATGTGACGTACTCGTACCAGATACTTATTGGACATCGACACTTGTTCGATACTATAAAATATATTTTTTAATTTTTTCGGCCCTGAACATGTGTGAGATATGCCTGGACACCTTCACAAATATGAGCTCAACACGATATGACAAAAAACAGGACAAAAGCAGAGAAGTATAAAAATACGTATGACTTAAATTATATCTCATAATCGAAGCCGTTCCCTCTCTTCATGTCGAAATTCCTTCTAACATTCATTAAAATCGAGCATAAATGGTTCATCTAATATTCGTTGAAGTCGAGCATTAGTAGTCAGCATCAAATGTCTATTATGTAATCATCGAAGACAAGCGTTGTAGTTCTCTTTTGTTCATTGAAGTTGAACTTACACCTGCTAAAGTGAAAGTTGTAAGTTCATTGTTGCAACCTAAGCAGGACTCAAATCTTTTCATTGAAGCTGATCCAAATACCCCACGAACTTAGCAACGGTTGCATTGAAGCTTTTATTTGTCGAATCTAAGTGGAGTCAAAGCAACTCTAGTATTGTAGGTGTCAATTTATGTTTTTTTTACTCTAATAAATTAATAGTTATGAATTTATACTTATTCTAATTCTAAAAGTTAAAATTTTAACTTAATTTAAACAAGGTGTAATAATAAGATAATGTAAAACTTAGTAGAAAAGTTAGAGGAATTCTTTTAATTTTGAAAATTAGTTTTTATAAACATGAGAATTCATAATGCAAGTTAAATTTTATTCTTGCTTATTTTGTTTTGTGATATGTTTATTAGAGAATATTGAAAAAAAAAAATATATTTTATATTATTAAAACGTGTCTATGACATGTGCCTTCTTTTTTTTCAATTATGCCGTGTTCTCGTATCGTGTCGTGTCCGTGTCATCATGTCCATGCTTCATAGCATGCAACTCGGGTTCTTTTGGGTTTGTGAGAATTATATTGAATCATGATCGTTGAATTTTACAAACTTTTGATGCAAAAGATAATGCTCTTATTGTTGAGTGCATGATCAATTACATATACCTCTTGTTTATTATTGAATTGCTGATTTATAGTAGCATTAGGACTTAGTTTTTCTATAAAAAACTCTAATGGTTTACCTTCTTAGGGTAAAACAGCTCCGATACCTACAACATATCCGTGTTTGCTTGAGATGGGCCCTAATAGTTTTAATTTCTATTGAATTTTAACATGCAAATTGAGAAATTTTTCATAATATGACCAATTTTGTTTTCCTAATGATTTTGTTTTACTTTTTGAACTTTTTAAATAAAATGATGATTTTCATCTATTTATAGCCAAGCTTCCTCTCTTCCTGATTAGAAACTATTTCAATTCGATGCTGCCTATGGAATTGCAACAAAACTAGTTTGTTTTTTAATTTTTTTCCAGGGAAACAAAGTTTCGTAGATGCTGTTTCATCTTTAACTTTTCGTTTTGACTCAATATACTCATTTATTAAACTGATTGTTAGTTTTGTTACTTATTTCTGTATTGCTTATAAATCTTATGACACGAACTTGCTGTTATTACTCCATTATGCTTCTTATTGCAATAACATCCGATTTAATCATCAATGATGCTTTTGCTCCTGCGAAATATAATATTTATGAATTTGTTTGTGCAGAAGTGCTCGAGTTTCCTAAATTTTCACTTCTCCGCTGAACTTCTACTCCTGAGGAATGTTGAGGAGGAACATTAGGCTGAGAAGAGAGTATCTCTACCGGAAGAGCTTAGAGGGAAAGGAACGTGAGTACTATGAGAAGAAGCGAAAGATTAGGGAAGCCCTTGAAGGTACGCCCCAAAACCTCTTTTAGCTCTTTTGATTTGTTTCTCATATATATCACTTGAATGATATTTATGTTCGTTGGTCGATTCTGCAGAGGGAAAGCCAATACCAACTGAGCTTAGGAATGAGGAGGCAACACTTCGGCAAGAGATTGATCTTGAGGATGAACAGACTGCAGGTTGGTTCAACTTAACCCTACTGGTTGTTCAGGACCTACTTAAAAGCGATATTTCTTATCTGCTTACCTAACTTGATAAGAGCAGATGTTGGGATGTTGTTGTTGTTGCAATATTATTTAGGGGCATTTACATACATACAACCCAATCTTATGTATTTACATATCTAACAACCCAACTTTAATATAGCACTAAAATCTTTAGAATCATATAAAAAGTATCACATTCCCGTATTTTTAAAAATTTTAATATAACTTTTCATGTTTAGTATATCACACGAATGTGTTATAAATGTAAATGTGAAAGTTTACGTGTTTAGATATGTAAATGTATAAGAATTGAGTGGTATGTATGCAAATTTCCCTATTATTTAATATATCCTGAATGTTTTAACAAAACCCTAGTGCAGTTTGATTATCTATGTTTTTTCCGTAGATGCTTTTCTCATGTATTAAAAGATAATGTACCTAATTAATTATCAGTTTGATAGAAAAATAGCAATTACTTTTTTTTATATTGCTTTCCTTTGAGAGATGTTTTTCTCATTCATCACAGGGCATGCACCTCATCAATTATCTTATTTACTTGAATAGAAAATTAATTGATGCAGTGCACTATTTGCTTGAGGAACACTTTACCATTACTTATGCTTTATCTTATTTCCTGCTTATTTCCTTGATTATTTATACTTTAATGCATTATAGTTAACTAATACACTTATAATTAGTCAAGTATACATATACATTCTTACAGACATTGTAAAAGGGATATAGATGAAATATAAGAAAACCTGCTTTCTTTTTATCTCTTCGTTCCTTTCTCCTGTTTTCTCACTGCAGGAATTTCGTTCCCACCATAGTGGTATCATAGCCTGTCAATCAGGATTCGATGGCAGTATGCGGTAAGCTCCCGGCAATTGACGATGTTCAAAGCCTAGAAGCCCTCTGGTTGTCAAAGAACAATCTCGTGCAAAGAGGAGAATCCCTAACATCTAAATCAGTGAAATTATCAGTGGAATTTGAAGTGTGAGATGCAGAGTCTCAAATCCGACAATCTTGCAATCCTTGCAATTCGAGCAACTCTTGCTTTTTTCCCGTGAGGCATCGCAGATCAATCCCTTCCAGTAATCCTGAGTCAGATAGCGAGAAAGATGTGAAGAAACGGTTTGATCTATCCAATTCAGATGAACAGGAACTGGGTCAAAATAAGCTGTAGATTACAGGAGGTACGCAAATCAAGACCAATTGCGTAATGAATTCCAAGTGAAATTTGATATCTCTCTCTTTGACAGACATATTCCCATAAGGATTATTTAAACCGGGAAAAATTAGTGGAAACTATCTTTGAATATATAGTGATTTTCCCAGAAAAATAAGTGAAATATGTAGCATGTCAATTAAAAGGGGCAGCAAAAGCTTGTTGGTTACAATTACATTAATCACGCCGATGGGAATGGAAAGATCTGTTCACAGTTGGTTCAGAATGAAGCAATTGTTGAGAGGACACTTTCTTGCCGCAAATCTTAAATAGATGCTATATGTTCAAAATCAATATTGTGCTCAAGGCCAGATATTAATTAGTGATTATACAGAAGAGTTTTATTTTCTTATTACATGGAACAACCTCAACCAATCGGATAACGAGCTTGTTGCCCGAACTATCAAAGGTTTGCATGATACAATTCAAGATAATTTGGAGCTTAGTTCCATTTGGTCACTATCCCAACATGTAAATATAGCTTATAAAGCTGAAATGAAGCTAAATAGAAGCACCCAAAGTAATTCTTTCTGGAATATAAGCTTCAAACTGCTGAAAACTAGCAGCCGAACCACTCCTCCGACTTTAAAGGTGAGCTCTCTTCAGTCCCAAAAGCTAATTAAATCCAACAACAAACAGTGAAAGAACCCCCTTCAAGAGCAACTAAAAAGTGAAGGAAAACCCTTATTCTAAACTATCCAATTTGAAATGTTTTTGTTACCTTCAACTGGGTCATAAATCCAATGGATGCCCATCTCGACAACTACAGGTGCTTGATGGAGAACCTGAAATTCAAGAGCCGTAGAAAGAAACAAATCTGGACAAGTTTGAATTTGAAGATATGGTTGGAGATGAAGGTGAATCACTTGTATGTGTTCTGAAGAAGCTACTCTTAACACCACGGAAAAACCTACCATCATAGAGGCATGCTATCTTCCACACTAACTGCACCATCAGCGAGAAAGTGTGTGACCTGCTTATTGATAGTGGGTGCACTGAAAACATCTCCAAATTTGTGGTGCAGGCTTTGCAGCTCAAGATTACCAAGTATCTTGAAACTTACTGATCGGGTGGCTTAATCAAAGGGTAGATTTACTTGTTTAGGAGATTCGTCCACATTACCTTCTCTGTTGGTAAGCACTTTGTGTACAAAATGGATGTAAGAGATCAATTTTAATGGATGCATGTCATATGATATTAGGAAGATCATGGCAGTTTGATTTGAGAGCCACTTATGACTGCCGATCTGACACATACTCCGTCGAATGAAAGGTTTGAGTTCTAAGACTGCTGCTTTTGTTATCTGTGATGCCAGTTAAACCCTCTAGCGACAAACCCAGTCTTTATACAAGTCTTGTAATAAGTGTCTCAGAACCTAACAGAGAATTGTCTACTGAAGCGTTGCCTGCAGTTAGGTATTCAACAAGCCCTAGCTGAGCTGCCTTCGGGTTTGCCTTCTCTCCACAACATTCACCACCAAATTGATTTCTTACATACTGCTTCTTTTTAATCTGCCCCACTATTGTTTGAGTCCTAAATATCATATTATCTTACAAGAAATAGTCAATGACTTATTGAAGAAACATATGATTGAATAAACTCTGAGTCTGTGTGTTGTATCAACACTTATCATGCCTAAAAAAGATGGATATTGGAGAATGTGTTGATAGTCGAGCAATCAATAAGGTTAATCTTAAATATTGCTTTCCTACGTCACGATTGGAAGACATGATAGACAAGTTGGCAGGAACTATAATCTTTTCAAAATTGGTCTTATGTGGCGGATATCATCCATCAGTTCTAAATTAGGCACAGCGATGAATGGAAACCGCCTTCGAAACTTGTGATGGTTTATATGAATGGAAGGCCATGATCTTCAACTTGTGCAACACACTGTGTACCTTTATCAAACTCATAAACGAGATACTCAAAACATTCTTGGGGCGGTTCTATGTTGTCTGTTTTGATGACATACTAGTCTATAGTGATCACTTGCAACATCTGAAACATATATATGAAGTTCTTTGTAGTCACACGTTATACCTTTATATAAACAAATGTGAGTTTGCCTAATTCAGTGTCCATTTCCTTAGTTTATCATATCGGCAGAAAGAATTCAAACAAACCCAAATAAGGTTACATCCATAAAGTGGCCGGTCCCTTCACCTATAGTTGATATTAGAAGCTTCCATGGCCTAGCCCCTTTTTATCAACGCTTTATAAAGGGAAGCTTCTAACTTCTTTGATGGCTAAAATCTTTAAATGTTGCAAGTGATCATCAAATCGCCCTTAAGTTAGGCCTGAACCCTTTCATATAAACAATTGTGAGTTTGCCTCATCTTGTGTCCATTTCCTTGGTTTTATCATGGCCCTGGTAACCAATTGCCTTAAATCCAAAACCCTCTTTTGAGTTGCTGAACAACAAAATAGCTTCCATACTATCAAAGAAGTCTTGAGTTCAGTTCCCATTTTAGCCATGTCGAATTTATAAAGACCATTTCAGGTTGACCCAGATGCTTTAGCCATTGGGATTAGGGTTGTCCTCACACAATTGGGTTGTCCGGTTGAGTTTTTCAACAAAAAAAATAAGTGACCCAAGGCAAAAATGTTTGACTTATGAACAAAAACTTTATGCAGTAGTTTGAGCCCTCAAACATTGGAAACACTATGTACTAAACCAGGATTTTGTTCTATGCAGTGATAATCGTGCTTTGCATTTTCTTAATTCCCAAAGAAAATCAACCGAATGCATGCCGGGTGGATTTTCTTCCTCAAAAGTTTAGTTTTGTATTTAAACATAAGTCTGGTGTTCAAAACAGAGTAGCTGATGCTCTTAATAGAAGATCAGCCCTTCTCATGTAGGTTCAAATTGAGATTATTGGACTTGACATCATTTGGGAATTATATGCTGAAGATTCAGACTTTCTATGGCATGAAAAAGCTGCAACCAATCTCAAACAGCATATTTTTCACTTAGACATGGTCATTTGTTTAAAGGGAATCAATTGTGCATCCCAAATACATCCTTTAGGTAGTAACTTGTCAAAGAAATGCATGCAGACAAGCTGGCAGCTCATCCGAGGCGTGAGAAAATAGTGGTATTGATTAGAGTGTTTTTTTGGCCGCATCTCCGAAGAGATGTCATCAGGCTTGTTGATGGATACTCTATCCGCCAAAACTATATATGCTCAAAACACCTGCTTACATGCTCTACCATCGATTCCAGACTCTATATGGGAAATTCTCCGCTTGAATTTCATGATGGGCTTACCCAAAACAAAAAGAGGTATCGATTTTAGATGGTTGTTATAAAAAAGTTCTTCAAAATGATGCACTTTGTCGGTTGTAAGAAGACATTTGATGCTTTTCACACGGCTTGAATTTTTTTCCATGAGATTGTTCGTTTGCATGGTATCCCAAGAAGTCTCACCTCGAATCTTGGTGTTAAATTTGTTAATCATTTTTGGCGAGAATTTTGAAAGTGTCTACGAACCTTGCTTCGACTAAAGCTCAACTTATCACCCACAAACAGATGAGCAAACAAAGATGGTGAATCATATAGTTGGAAATAGGTTGAGGTGTTTGGAACAAGATCGCTCAAGCTGAATTTGAATACAATTCAATGCCCATTCGCTCTATTAGTAAATGCCCTTCTAGTATTGTGTATACTAAGATGCCAAACCACAAAGTTGACATTGTCATTCTCCCTAAATGTAAAAGCAAAGCTACTAGTTTAATGGTGGAA